ACAATACCTGCAGCAGGAAGGATTTTCTAGATCAAAGTAGAATTTGATTGGGATGCCAAATATGTTGAAGTTCTTGGTTTTTCTACATCCCTTGTGGACTAGGAAGAGGGCTGAGCTTAGTAAGGCTGAATAGCTTATCTAGGACAGAGCACTTATCATGCCACATAAGACTGGGATTAGGCTGGGGAGCAGGCAATTGCCAAATAGCTCTCAAATGTGTCACTGGATCTTGAAAACATGCTTTGTTTAAGAAGATCCTTCTTACCAGACAATGAAGATCATTGATTCTAAGAGGCATATGGATCACAGGGCTATGCTTTTACTTAGGACAAGTTAATATCAGGGTGAGTGTTTGGGACACCATGTGAGAACTATATTTATTGACAGAAATTGATGTGAACTATGTAGAAATTGACTCAGCAGGAATGTTTACAAAGCAGTACGAAATATGATATTCCTAGATCTCTGATAATGCACCTTTGACATAAGTACCAAATTTGGTATCAAAAGTGTCCCAAATTTAGCACAGCTGGTCAGAACTGCCCCTTTACTCCTTTTATTGATTGGTCAGTGCTGCCTCCACATATGCACATAAAGAAATTTGATGGTAGAATTTGCAGGGCCCTCCTGCAACAGAAACAACAGCAAAATATTAAATCATATAATCCAGAAAAACAGTCAGCCATGGGTTAGGTTTGGTCTGGCCTTCCCTCCTTACAGGATATTAGGTTATACCTTTCTCCTCAAAGTCTATACATCATCAATGTTGCAATAAAATTATGTGAGGTTTATAAAAGTAATCTGCCACTGTGCACCAACATGCAGATAAAATAAAAGATAAAATAACTTCTCAAAGCTATCTATTAGATAAGTTTTCATTTTGAAATCCCATATTTGCAAGCTTTTTTCCTCAATGCACAATAGAAAACTAGCTTCATGGGCTGGGCTTATAAAGTAATTTTCTGTCTACTTAGGACATCAGTATTTTAAGTCTGACTGCCTGTTGCTTCTCTTCTTCCTTCTATTTAGTCTACAGCCAGATTTGCTGTTTTTCTTCACATGAAAATTACAGTGCTTTCTGTGCACTGCTGAATGTGTAATGTTGTACAGGTTGCCTGTCAGAGTGAAGGCTTTTCCCTGGAACATGTCTGACAAAAATCCAGGGGCATTTGTAACAGGAAAGGGCCTAAAGGCTATGGTCAGAACCAGGCTTCTGGTGGGCTTGGTTCTCTCCAGTCATGCTCTGTATCCCACACTGAACACAAATGGAGACAAATTCTCTTTCCTAAAGAGAATATTTGTGTAAAATATTACAGACACTGAAGAAGTACGAGAGGTGGAAGGCCTCCAAAATATGGATTTTTGCCAGGACTGATCCATGGCAATTATTATCAGTCCTTCTGACCCTACTAGCCACTTCCCAAAGCTCACAAATATACCAGAGGCACATCATGTGTTTAAAGCATCTCAAAAGACAAGAGAAGAGGGGAACTCCAGATGTAGCAAATTGCCATAAAAAGACAATTACGGCAGGTCCCTAAGGAGTTCAGGGCTCCTCTGGAACTGTCAGTCAGAAGCCCACACAGCAACAGTACCACAATCAGGCTCAGACTCCCCTGTGCAGAGGGAAATTGTGCTACACATGCACCTACACACAGACAGGTGTGCATCATATGCATATTACACAGTCGCAGTCTGGGAACTGCACTGGGGCTGGGCCACGTGCACTTTGTGAAAAGTAACCGTAGCCACCAGGGCAGAACAGTGCACAGCAGTGCTTACTATAATACAGAAAACTGGAGGCCAGAGTGAAATTATTTCTCTTCCAAAAATAATCAATGTATCAAGACACCACCATCTCTGAGCGTGGGGAATTATGTGTGTGACCCTGTGCGTAGATGAACAAAAAACATACTGAGAAACACACAGAAGCTACTTGTGATTGCCAGGTCCCAATTGAAATGAAACACATTCAAGTGAATTAATAAAATTAGAATAAGATTTTTCTTCATTCTCCATTTCAAACCATATACACAGTTAGTAAATGGTTTAGGAATAAGGAGTATAGGCACTTTCTTGTCCTTATTTTGCAGGTACTAAATCGTTTTAAGAAGAACATTGATTTACACTGGAATAATAGATGCAGCTTCTGATGAAGCTTACACATATCATCTGCTAGTGAAATATTAATTTGAAATATATATTTTAACCTACTTGGATTTCTGCCTAAAACTGTTGCAGAAGAGTACCATATACTCAGCACTTTACACCAAACCTTCAATGTGAAGGTATATTCCTTACTTTCAAAAGTAAATTAAGTTTTAAGAACATTTTTTTCAACAGTTGCAAGCTACTTCTTGAAAAATTCTGGTACATGTCGCTATGTTTCCTCCTAATCTCCATTTACCCGTGCCTGATGCTTGACTCAGAAGGGAGCTGTGGGTGTTCGGTGTTCCAGGAAAGAGCAATTGACAGGCTCTTGACTTTTGTAGCAAGAAAACAAAATTGAATGAACTATTTTGAAACACCTGAATGCTTTCAAAGTGTCAATCTGTAGAAAAACCCCCCATATATTACAGTCTGTGTGTTGTGTTTATTTCAATACTATGCACACATTTTGCATGACCTTAATAATCTGTCAGTGATGTAAGTTCTTAGGATTGACTCTCTTTTTCACAGTCAGGGTACTCAAACTTTTCAAAACAGACCCAGTAAAGTAAACAAAGTAGAAAAGGTATTAAAGGATATCCTTAGCTTGAAACTTATTAGAAGAGATTTCCTGAATAGAATGAACCAAAGACATGCTTGAGGTCTTTCTTGAAAAAAGGACTTATATCACACCACACAATCATGGAATCATGGTAAAAGGGTAGAGATATACAAAGAGAGACAGATATATTTCCACATTATTTAAATTAATTAAGAACCATACCAGTGTTTTAGAAGAATTAAACATCTCACCATGTTTCAGACTTTGAGTCCATGAGTTTCATTTCTAAGCATATAATTCCATTTCTTTTCATAGTGCCCATCAGCTTAAAAAAATTCCATGCCTTTATTAATTTAAAAAATAAAGTAATGCACTCAAAGGAAGAAAAAAATACGCTACATTTTACACAAGACCTTGTGTGTTTTTTACAATAAAACAAAAACTTTACCGTAAACTGAAAGGAAAAGGAATTGAGACTATAGTGGGGAACACACAGCTGTTCCCAATGAGAAAAGTGGAGCAGGGCCCAGATGGTGACTAGAGTCAGCAGATCACCAGGCAGATCCACAGTGATGGAGCAGTTCCGAGGTGGAGCCAGGAAGTCACACTGGAAGTCACAGTCAGTAGAGGCTGGGTTCAGAGGTCTGTGTCCAGGCACATTCAGCCACTCAGCTGAGTACCATGGTCCAAGGCCTGAGTTTAAATACAGTTAAAGTGCAGTTCCTGAGCAAAGCAGAGAAGGGTCCCAAGGAAGTTTCTGAGGGCTGTTTTCCAGCAGGCTGGTGCCAGTCACAGTGTCCAGGAGTGGGAGCTTGTCCTTACATGAAGGAGCCAGACTCCTGCCTGCAGATGAGACTGCTGAGCTTGTAGGGTACTCAGATTTCTTCCTGGGTAGATAAGGATGGATTGGTAACAAGGGATGCGATTCACATAACTACACCAGATGCCTCATCTAATCAAAAGGAAATGCCAGTGACTGGATGAGTGAGCATGAAATGTTTCAGAGTAGGTATCTCTCTGAAGCTTTGAACTAAGGCTGGTGTATAAAATTGGCACTCATAACGAGCCCCATGCCTCATTTTCCTGGAAGGACCCACTTATGTAACTCCATAGCATGGTGGCAGTGGTGCAATCTATTTCATATCAAATTCTGCCACACATCCTTATATTTCTTTCTTCATATGTTTAAAGTGTAGACTGCAGTCTAACTGGATTCTTAGACCTCATAGTTTTGGCAGAAAGACTTCCATTGCTGCTGAAGGTCTTCCATTTGAACTGAAGAGAGATAGTAGACAATTTTTTCACCTTTACTGCCTTCCTGATGGCCCAGGAAATAGCAGTATAAGGTTTGAACTCCAACAGGAGTTCAGAACTTTCCAAATGAGGGGCAAGGATAAATAAACACTGGCATGTCCCTTTGTTAAGCAAGGACTGGAACCAAAAAGAACATATATAAAAGGCAGTTCACTGCCATCAGGAGTTTAATTTGAAAAAATAAAAAATAAGCATATTTGCCTTGTCAAAAGACATGGTTCAGTGACAGGTGTTGGGAAATCAAAAGAAACAGATTTTCCTCTGAGCACAGGAAATCACGGATTCCAGCTTAGTACCGTCTTTACTAAAAAAGTCCAGAAAAACACAGTCCAGTGGGTGAATTGCTCAATGACTTTTATCATGTGCAGTGTCTCTGGCCCAATGCTTCCTTTCCAGCATAAATCTTTCACATAACTTTTAGATTTTATGTCATTATAAGAACAGTGAAAAAGAAACCTCTTCATGTTACAAACAACTGCTAGGGAAAAAGCTACAAATAAATGTTTGGTGACTAATGATTCACGATGAAGCTGATCTAATGAATGTATGAGTGCATGGAGAATAGACCAGGATGTTAACAGAAAGGCTTTGGTAGGCCACTTAAAACAAAAGACAACACTGTCCAGAATGCAGGAGCTCACTGGAAACTGTCCAAGATGGGCAAAACTACTGCTGTCAAAAGAGCAGAATGAAAGGAGTCAGGCACAGCTGGTAGAAATACACAGTAACATTCCTTGAGGATAATTTTTAATTATATTATGATAGTCGCAAGAGAGAAGCTGAACTCATGTCCTGATGGAAATTGATTACCCTCCACAAGGTGTCCCTAAGAGAGCCTCCAAACTGAGCCAAGGTTTCCAAAAGTCTGGCTTCTAGTCGTAGAAGGTTAGCAATGCCCTGTCCTTCTAGCAGTGTAAAAGCCAATCTAATCAGGTGTGAAGCATTTGATACATGGAAAAATTAACCAGCATCTAGAGAGAAAACCTGGCACAAGATGAAGAAACCTGGCAGCTGAGACAATAGACCTGGCAAAATCTACAGGAGTTTCATTCCAGTTTTTTTGAAGGTAATTCTTTTCTGTTTTCTATTCTACCTAGTCTTTCTTTCATTTTCATTCTAGGCTGTAAATCCAAAAAGGTAAGAAAGCTAGTCTACCGTGTGCCAAGACAGCAATCTGCAGAAAAGCACAAAAAGAACTTTCCATTTATTTCTCTCTAAACTCTTTGTTTTAAAACATGCTTCTAAAACTAATTTTACGGGCATCTTTTTATGGAATACAAATAACATGAGTATGAAAATCTGAGGGTATATGAATTACAAAATAACGGCAAAGTAAAGTCTTACTAAATCTGGTAAGTGCTTTCACAAACCAATGGAAAATAGTGTTAATTTTTAATAAAGCACTTAGCTAGAAACAGTGTCTTGCAGACTGGAGAATTGCTGAGGGCGTCAGGCAGGTCTTTCATAGAATTATTTGTCTACCCAAAGAATGTATGTAATATTTTGTTTCAAAACAAAAACAAGTTTCCACACTTCAGATTTATCTCGCACAGTGTTTCACCTGAAGACACTCTCTCTTAGCTCTTTTAGAAGATCACTCTTTTCTGTCTGTCCTTGGATGTTTTCTGCCTTCTTCCTTGAAATGTCTCTTGCTTTTTTTTTTTTTTAGTTTCCTCTCTGCACAAAACTCCCTCAGAAATTAGGGAAAGAAATTACACCCATCTTCCTTATCCCAAACTCTCCTCATACATTTCATGTGCCTGCATATGTCCAGAGTTTTGGGAAAGGATTTGTATTGCTTTATGTACTTCCTACTCCCCCAGAAAAGTAATTACATTTTTCCTGACTGACTAATGGCTGCATCATAGCTCAGCCTTACTGGTATTTTCATATAACTACTAGAATAGCATGATATATTTATAAAAAGTAACCATTTCTTCATTGTAAAGCTTACCCAGGCCAAGGTGCTCAGTGATGAGCAGTTTAGTTTTCTAAACATGCAACTGAACATCCACACTGTAGACCAGCAAGATTTGTATCCATGTATTTTCCTCCTAAAACAATGTGGTAATTTGCACTTGTAATTAACATCTTTATCAGGACGATTAGAGCTTCACTAGCATCATTTTTCACACTATGCTCTAGAAGAGGCTGATGTCCTTTCTACAAAAGCAATCATATAAAGTCCCAACTTAATTTTCCCAGGTACTCTATCACAGAAAGAGAATTATGTTGTACTGTATTGATCTTACACTGGCAGTAATTACAGCAGCTGGAACAGTTGCTTCTACATGTGGTAGATATGCGTCCACATGTGCACCTCATCAACTTCTATTACAGAGGAAATGGGGTGGCATATTTACTTATATGTACTGAAAATATAAAGTAATGTGCTTGTCGCTGGGGCTATGTGTATGCCACTATCAGAACAGTTCTAGTGTAAGAATGCCAAAGCATGGACCCATCATGGGGCAAAAGTGTGCAGGAGCAGCTAAATACATGGTAGAAAAAAGATATGGGACAAACGGGAGCATATTCCAGTACAGATCCTTTAGAAGGACCATAGCTCTCATACAAACTGAGCGCTGAGAAATCTGACTATATTGCAATCTCTGCAATTTCTCTATTCATAAACTAGGAAAAGTTGAGGCAGGACTATTAATAGTGTGATGATATCACAACATCCTTTTGACTAATAAACATTTCCAAAACTGCTGTGAGACAATTTTAATGAGATTCTGTGAACAGCTGGCTCTGGTCCTGTGGCACAAGAACACTCAAGGACATGTGCACCTACTCACAAGCTAGGGACTACTGACATCTGAAAGCAAACTCTTCCAAAACACTACAAGGCAGCAACTAACACATTCTACACTGACAAGGAAACTGTCAATATTGAGACAACAGAGGCTTGAAGACAATTGTTCCTGTGATTTAATTTTTAATGCTGAATTTAGCTCACTCTTTCCAAATTAAAAAGAAAAAATTATCAAAGGTTCAAGGCAAGAAATAAGAAGAAAGTACATTTCCTTAAATGAACAATCCAGTCATGGGCATGGAGATGTGTGATATTCTGATGGGGCAAAATGATGTTGTGCTCTGTTTCAGTATACAGTATCATTAGGCTATGTGCTTGCAATAATTTGGAGAAGAAGCTCTTTTAAATTTATACGTTTCCACTGATGTCATGGAATCATAGGATGGTTTGGATTGGAAGGAATCTTACAGATCATCTAGGTCCACCCCTCTGCCATGGACAGGGAGATGTTTCACTAGACAAGGTTGCTCAAAGCCCAACTCAACCTGACATTGAAAAATTCCAGGGAAGAGGCCTTCACAACTTCTCTGGGCAATCTGTTTCAGTGCCTTACCACCCTCAGAGTAAAGCATTTCTTCTTAATATCTAAACTAAACCTGCCCTCTTTCAGTCTAAAGCCATTCCTCCTTCCTATCTCTACATGCCCTTGTAAAAAGTGGCTCTCCAGCTCTCTTGTAGGCCCTTTCAGGTACTGGAAGGGTGCTCTAAGGTCTCCCAGATCCTTCTCTTCTCCAGGATGAACAGCCCCAGTTCTGTCAGCCTGCCTTCATAGAAAAGGTGCTCCGTCCCTTGATGGCCTTCTCTGGACTTGCTCCAGCAGATCCATGTCCTCCTTATGTTGGGAACCCCAGACACAAATGCAGTACTCCAGGTGAGGTCTCACAAGAGCGGAGTAGAGGGAGAGAATCTTTCTTCTGCTGCTTTTTCTGCTCCTCCTGATTCTGGTACTTAGATCTGTGGTCTCAACTTCATTCAAGTCACAGAATATTTTTGTGAATCTTTCATTTCTTTCTGTGCGGATCAGTATTGCCTTACCTTGTATATTGAGACAGAATGTTCTACCAAAGGTGTAGTCATTTCTTCTGCAGAAGAAAGAAAATTTCCTCCCTAAGTTCTTCATCTTGACAAGGGCAGACATGAATACTTTTTTCCTTTGGTGCGCCTCTATTTCATCCCTGCACAGCAGCTTCTCAGATGCCACCCTACAAAGTGTGGTAGATGCAATTAATTTAAAAGGGACTGGGACCTGCTGCATTTGGGGTGGTTGGGTGTCAGGACAATGAGTCTAACTCTGTTACATTGCTTACATTTTAGTTATTTCAGGCTTGAGATGCTCCATGAAGTGTTAAATAAGCTGGGGAACCTTGATCAGGTCAGGTAGCAATTTCCAAGGCCTTTAGTAAGAAACGATACAGACACACTGTGAATGAATGACTGAGAAAAGACAGCTATAGGAACAGTGGTACGGAGTCTGCAAGAATCTCTGAAATCCTGAATTTAACCTGTAAGAAAATCCTGAGATTTGACAGCCAGGAAAAAAGACATTTCATGGTGAAAAGAAATAGGGTATTGAACCAGCATAGGAGGTTTGTGGATAATAATCCCTTCTCTCTTGCTTGGTCTCCATATCCTGGACAATATCATGAAATACAGTTATTGTGCTACCAACAGAAAGTGCCCAGAGGCCCTGAAGGGACCTTTTCACTTGATACTACCACTGGGATTTATAAGTCAGCCCCTTATCCTATCTGCACAAGCAAGCCTGAATTCCAAGCATGCATAAGCCCAGTTTTAAGGAGCTTGTGGCTGACAGGTACAATCCAAAGAAGATTCCAAGAGAAGGATGAAAAGAAGTCATAACTGAACAAACATTCCTTTCTTCCAAATTTCAACTTTGAATACACTTCTTTAACTTATATTTTCCTTGCTTAGGACTTTCTCTGCCTGTATTGTCCTTTCTTCTCCTTCCTCTCCTAAAACTAGATGGGAATCTGTAGCACACCTCAACAAAAGACAGTAAAATTAGATCATACTTAATGTTGGTTTGAAAGTGCTTTAAAACCCTATGTACATCTACAACACTACTTAATTAAAATAAATCATACTTTATTAATGATCACAATAGCTATCATAAATTCAATAAAAATAAAGTAATGATATCTTCACAACTGCATTCATGTGAAGATTATAATTTATTAGGCACACACCACACAGTGAAGCTCACCAACAAGGGACAGAAGTGTCAGTAAATACCTTTCAAAGAAGCAAATGCAAAGGTATAGGGAATTTATTTGTTTTGTTTGGTTTTACTTAAATTTTCTGGGGAGTCAGCTTCTGAATGAAAATTGGCATTTGAAACTTTACCTTCAGAGTATCGGAAGTGTCACTGAGGTAAAATGAAATTGTAGCTCCATGAAGGCCTAAACGTGTCAGTCAGTATACAGTAAAGCTGTGTATTGCTGCGTCCTTGATGGAGATGACTGCTGAATAGCACATCCACTCCTCATTGCACTGGGTGTTGTGTACAGCTGTATGGGCAGGACAAGGAAAGAAGAAGAAAGTGGTGCTGCTCCTTTTGTTGATTTTTCACCTGGATTGTTTGGATCTGAGGATGTCCTCTGTGCATATGACATGCTTGATCTTTTTGTCAGACAGACACAGTTCCTTCAGATACTTGTAGAGCCCCAGAATAGACTGGGATCAACTCAGAACCTCTGTATTTGCCACACTCCTACGACAAGAGTACACCAGGGTGGGCCAATCAGGGGCATGCAGCCCCACAGAGCTGAGGAATTATGTGTAAGGAAGCCTGTGCTTACACTGGGTTTATACTCTTCAGTCTCCTGCTGTGTGAGCTCCAGAGTGATTTTTCAGGGCCGCTTCATGAGAATTGTGTTGTCATGGCTGGACTCAAGGTATGCAGCACTCATCTGTTCGAAGAAACAATGGGGCAGAAATCTCTAGTAGATGAAGCCCTTGAGAGAGTTTCTTTTGACTCTTCCTAGGCTTTTTAGAAGTGAGAAATCAAGCTTAATTGGAATTTAAAGACATTATATGGTAGGAATGATCGATGACACTTGATAGTTGAACCTGAATCAAAAGGAAAAAACAAGTCATTTATAGGAAATATTTCAAAATAGGGAACTTATATATCTTTAAATTTTTTCTCCTAACCCCTCAGCTCTTTAGATGATTATTCAGAATTCATAAATAATAGTGTGTAATGCCCATTTAAAAAGATATGACAAAATGTGCTTTTCCAGGGAGTTGCAAGAGCTAATGTATTTTTACATCCAAGTACTTTCATAGAGTTAATCAAATGTTGCAAAATGCCCTTTAGTTTAATTGCATGCACAAACATACAGACAAAAAGAGAAAACAACTGAGATTATTCATTATCTTTTTCTTCACTATCTCATCATGACAGCTGTGGGCAAAAAGATCATATGAGGCTAAGGGTAGCCTGACTTCCTTGATCCTTAGTAGTTTGTCTTCATGTCTAAACTATCTTTTAAACAGTGAACAAGTAACTTAGTAATAATGCTAATAATAATACTCATTTTATAAATCCATTTTTATTTTAAGACAGCTAGGCAATTTCTGACAAGTAGTGTAAACACAAAAAACCGTTCTGTAAACTCAGAAACAGCCACACTATTAGACTACAGTCATTGTCTACAACTTATATCAGACAAAACTCAGAAGGCTTAAACAATGATTACAACCTCGATGAAGTACTGAAAAAAAAAGGTAAATTAAAAAAAAATAAATAAAAGCATTTCGACTGTGGATTATTTCATAAATTCTGTCAGTCCACTCTGTATTGTATGTTCTTCACAGATTATGACTGATCCATGACATTTCTGAGGCGGCCCATTGCAGTTGCAGTATTATGGCTTTAAATGTAATATCGGACATCACCATGAGAAAAGAATACCCCCAGGAGTCGAGGACAGAAGGTAATACAGTGGCTCTTTCAGTGGTGTGGGAGACATGGCAAACTGCTGCATAGCTGAACAGTTCCCCTTTGTTCTCTGTTCAGCTATGGATCCGATTTCTCTGAATTGGGCTTATTACAATAAATATAGATGCACAACATGATTATTTATGGGAAGAAAACAGACAAAGGAGGTTGAGTTGCTGGTACCTAAAACCTCATTTTCTGAGCTTCTCCCCTTGAGGCCCTTTTCATTTGTTGCACCATTGTATTCTCATTGTTGCTCAATGATACAAGCCTAAGCTGTTCATCAATTTACCCACTCCCCCAATCTCTTTCTCTCTCATGTGTGCTTCCTCTCTCTTCCCATGTTAATAGTTCCCCTGAAATCCTATCACTTTGCTGGAGGATTGATGTAAGTCTCCAGCAATTAACATAATTACAAGCCTGATTATCTTCTAATTGCATTATGAGTATTTGGTTATTCACTACACAAATTAGAGAAAATTAAAGAGGAGCAAGATCCTGTGGTGTGGGCGGTATGCTTTCTAAACTGTTATGAGCATCTGAATGCTGCGAGATAACAAGAAGGTGAAGACGTTTTATATTCCTATTGGCTCACACTTGTTCTTGTCATTGTATAATGGTTTTTTTCTTCTTTCAACAGTGTTTCGTGCCACCGAAAGATGCGGTCTTACTTCCTTCGTTTGGGAAAGTTTACTGACAACACACAGTAAACTAAAGTAAATGCCATATTTTTCTATAAGGATTCGGTAAAATGATAGAAATTAGAACAAAAGGCACCTTGAGAACACAGACTTCTCTACTACTGAGAAACATCAATAATTCAAATGTATAATTAAGGGATACTGTGTGTGATGACGGGGTAACATAACAGTAAACAAACACCAAGAATTGCTGGTTCTTGCCTGTCTCTTCTAGTGTTTTTGAGGTTATTGCATTATTAGTTAAATAAGCAAGAATAAATTACAATAGCTAATAATTGCTAGAGAGTAGTTTTAAACCTGAGTAGCACTTTGATGGGGCATAACCAATATAAAACAGAAGTCGTTTTAGTGGTAGCAGTTCCAGCAATGAAAAGGGGTGCTTGAATGTATAGAATGAAAATTCATGGAAAATCTAAGTAACTGGATATATTTGAAAATTACATTTTTAAAAGGAAATATTTGGAGTTTGACCAAAATAGGATGAGAAAAACATCTGGCAGGGAAAGGGAGCAAAGAATTACAGAAAAGATTGTAGGTTCTGCTATTGTTGAAGACTATGGGTTCTGTTGGGTTGAAGACTATGACTGCTGCCAGAAAAACAGCCATCTCATGCCTAATGCAGGACTAACCATCCTATTATACACACAAGACAGCCTGTGAGGTAGGAGGTGGGGAGGTCTGTTCTAAGTCAACCAGTTGAACGTCCCCGAGCAGTGCTGTGAGCACCCTTTGCTGACTTCCACCCTAAGTAACTGACAACTGTGTTTTGGGATAACTCAGTACCTATCTTCTTATGAGCCAAATCCTGCTAATGTTCTTCATGGGAGACCTTTCCATCTTACAGACATGTTTTTAATAGAAGTTAACCTGCCAACACTTAAAACATGAATGAATTTATAGGATACAGCAATGGTCTAATATCAGTGAATACAACTTTGGCTTCTGTACTGGACCTCTCGTGCCCTCTTGGTCTCAAAATTTCCAGGTAGTGCAAATGGCACTCAGCCACAAGGGAATAAATCGATGACATTTGCTTATTTCAAAAGGGTCAGCGCACAGTCTTTGGTCAGGAATTTTGCCTTCTGACCTAGGGATGGCATAGTGTGGAATTCAAATGTGAGACCTAAGGTTTTGCAGATGTAAAGTGTTCACTATGGAAGCCCATTTTCATTCAAAAAATTTCCTTACACTTGCATGTGTATTGCAAGGTGCATTCAGATACATTCCCCTCTAGGTTTGACTGAAGAATTAGGAGCTAATGATCATAACTTTCTCAAGAAAGCAAAATGTATACTGCAAAACTCACTATCTGCATGAAAATGTAGCTTTGATCTCTTCCCTTATCTCCTTGCATATTACCACATGATTTGATGTCCAGAATATTCCCAAGGACTTCCATCAAAAAATTCACTAATAACACTCCCTGTCTGCAAATACCTCCTATTGTTTGAGCCAGCAGCTGTAAAACTAGAAGTGTGGATCCTAAATAGGGCCACAATCCTTCAAGGAGGCCTCCCCTAAATAGGCTTACTTTTGGTGCTTCCAGTATCCACTCTAAATATTCCAAAGGCATCCAAAGCCTTTACGCTCAAATTGAACTGATGATACCAAAATATAGTAGTTATCTTTTTTCCTCTTTCCGTATTTAGCACTGTGGTCCTTGTTGTAAAGGAGGTTGCAACACCGCAGAGTTTTTGATTTACCTCGTTTCTTAGAGCAAAATAAATTTCAAGCTGTGGGTACAACTTCTGTTGAGCTCTCTAACCTCATCTCCCATTTAATACTGTTATTCACAACTGAGGAAACATGCTGCTACTTATCATAAAGGACCAAAGAGAGTACCTTTATTTTACACAAAGAAGACAAAACACACACGTTTTGAAACAATGGCAGCAAATCTCCTGAACTTCACAGGCAGTAGGGCCCATTCCAGGCCTCCTGCTGGACAGACAGAATTACTGCAAACTAAAGCCAGACAACACTCTGTCAAGTATCATGGTCTCCAGAATTCAACTGGCTGTGTTAGTACATACAAGTCCCAACGTTTTCCTTAAAACAAAATGAGATCTTATTTGAACTTCCCTATTCATACCTCCTCAGGATGGGCCGGAAAAGAATGCCATTTTTCCATATCCTCTAGGCCATAAGAGTTTGTCTGATTTTGTAGGGCTCTCAAGGTCCATAACTCCTGAACATTCACTGATTAAAGAAGCTGGTCATTATTAAAACATCAATTTAGGACAAATTTAAATGGGAAAGGTGAAAACAATCTTAAGTATCTATCACTCCAGTGCAATACTAAAAAAATCCAACATCAACAGAAGAATTTTCTTAAAAACAAATGAACTATGTATACATATTTTCATTTGATGATACTAAGTGTGTGCATGAAACTATGGGAACTGATCACCATGTGCTTCATCTGATCCATCCAGACAGAAAATAAAGAGAGAAGCCATACACCGTATGAGTCCTTAACAGATAATTTAAAAGTACTTTTCAAGGCGGTTTAAAATACATTCAACGTTAAATTGAATTTTTACAAGTAGGTAAAATTTCATGCAACTTTTTAAAGCTGTAAAACTTCAATAGCTGTAGACAGTGGGCCAAATTCAGTTTTAATGTAAAACACACTGAATTTCATGAAAAGCTTCATTGAATTTTCTGGCAATTTGCCCAGTTGCCACAGAATTCAGTTTTACACTGTCTTTCACTTTCCTCCCACTGCTTCTCAAAGCTGTCATATGTACACAGTCTAGAAGTTTTCAGAAGTCCAGGACTGGTAGTGAAAGTGGATTTAATAGTCTAATATCAAAGAGCCCATGGAGAAAAGCCACTCCACAATTTTGTCAGGGAAAGTAAACAACCGAACCCCATTTTCACTGCTGCTGTTGTAAAAAGCCATTTTTAAAATTCTACAAATACTTTGCTCTGAATGGCATCCCTGAAATTTAAACTGAAGCCTGGACTCCCAAGTGAAAGAATGAATTAGAAGGAAATAAATGAGGATTTTTTCTTTTGCAGTAGCACTTGACAGTCCCACTTTTAGAAGTAGGTAAGAATTCCAGGCATCTGACAGAAGACACAAATACTTCCTTTAAATAAATCCTGTGCAGTACATAGATAAAATTTCCACAATACAGTGACTCTGAGACCCAAATAAATTGCCCATATGTGTTCTTTACAAGTTATGTAAGCAATTTATAGGAGCCAATATTCATGACAGGATGGTCTAGAGCCATTTCAGATTGTTTTAAAACAGAAAGCAGTACATGACTTAGTAGGCAGACTGTAACACCAAGCCACAGCTATCCTTAAATCTGAAGTGTTATCTTCCTTTTTGATGTAAAACTTCTTCCCCGCAGTGAAAAGCAAACAAAATATTGTTTCCCTGCTTCATTACTTTAGTAAGAAGGATTGACGACATGCTTAGCTGGCAGGAAAAAATAATTTATTTCACTGTCACCTTATTTGTTCACCTGCTGCAAGGTAAATAGAAGCTAAGTCACTTTTTATTTATTTAGCTTCTGTAAGACACCCACACTGAAATAACTGGCATTATCTATTATATACAACCACTCCACTATACTGATCACAGAAAATAAAAATAGTGCAAGACTCCCTATAACCAACTTCATTTGTTGGTGAAAGCAACACACCACCTTTTAGATTTTTAAACGTAATGCTTTTTTTTTTTTTTTCACTCATCATTTTTCCAATTTAAAATGTGTTTTGAAAATAACAGTCATTTAACTTAATTCATGTTCAAAATATACTAGGAAAGTAAACGGTCCATATGTAGGAGTTGTCAGTGTCTGGGTTTTATCTGTTATCACAGATCTATTACTATTATTAGGATAATTTGTCATATCAGTAGAAAAAAAAAATTAACTGATAAATATATTTGAAAATGCAGTTAAGAGCCAATTCCCATGTTAATTTCTCAGAGAAATTTCCCTCTAGGGTGTGGCTGAAAGTGGAGAAAGTGAGTTGGGATTGTACAGAGATTACTGTGCATTAGCGTAAAGCATACCTTTTCCTGTGACGAATGGTATAAGCTCCACACTCAACATGAGAGTATAAATTTGACTCAACAAAGCACCCTGCTTGCAGAAGCTTGCTCCACTCTCTCATTTCGTAGCACAAATAAAATGCTTTTTTATCCTGCCTTTGCAAATAGAGTCAAACATTCTAAACAAAGTAAAATCTTATATCAAGGGGACAAGCAAAGAATTTATGTTTCAGGAGATTGCTTGATAGCGAAATGAGATGCAGGGTAAGAAGGTATTATGGCAAACTCATATAAGGCCACAGCAGTGAATGTAGTGAGGGTTTGGCTTCGTTTTTTTCTGTTTCATGCTGGTTTCAACCCTCGCAGCACTGAGCTCTTTGTTGTCACTGGTGGATCAGCGACTGGCTCCAGCATTCAGCAGTCCACAGCATGGGCAGATCTGCCACAGCTGGCTTAGTGGGTGTGCTTTTCCAGATATCTGTAAGAAGAATTGAACTCGAGCCCTTAGCCGTAAAAAGAAGTTGTCACTGTCTCCACAGATTACAAACAAGGGTAACATTTCTCTCTCTGCCGTGGGAATTCTGGTACCCACCGTTACTTTCCTTACAGTAAATAAAGAGCTTGCTTACTGTTGCAGCGTTTACCTATTGAAAAATTACTCTCTCAAGAGTACATTAATAACTCTCAAATGTCCTTTTTGGTACTTCCAAATTTGACAGAACTCTGATTTTGGAAGTACACAAAAGTTTTCTGAGAACATGAACATTATTTCCTCCCCTTGAGTTCCCAGGTTGCTATGCTAGAACAGGTCTCAGGCTCCATCTTCCAAATGGTCATTTACATTTGTTAATGGATGGGAGCACATTCGGTGGGGGAAACTGAAACTACCAGCAAGAGTGAGGGCATTCACCTAAATGGAAAATCCAGGTTCAAGCCTCTTATGTAAAACAGACAGAAGAACAAACTGACCTTTGTTCACATACATCCACTGGCTGGTTGGGTATGCTAAGTTTTATTCAGATTTAACCAGAAAATCATTCTTGAAACTGCAGTTTTGCTGAAATTGGTATATTTCTGGGAAAAGAAAAAAGCCTTCTCATTTCAGCTAACCAACATTTTCACTGAGAGATTCTGACACAGTTCTCGTGCTAAAAAGCTATTTTTAAATTTTTATTATGATTCAGTAGTGTTATATTTATGTACAGTACATTACATTCTGTGTTTACTTAATCTCAGAAGATATAACAGTAATATATGGAACAGTTACATACACTGGGAAGATTTTATGTACAATTTGATATATTAACCTGCTATTGTTCTAAGGTTATGGAACACCAATGGAAAAATATAAAATATTATAACACTTGATCTCTGATGA